GGTCTTTTATACTGATAACGAGTTAAAACAGGTACCATTAATACAGGTAACGAGTGGGGGACAGAGGAGCCTCTTAAAGAAGAAGTTACAGGTCTGTGAGAGCCAGAAATCTTGCTTGTTTGTAGGTGACCAAATACTTATTTTCCACCATAATTTGCAAATAAATTCTTAAAAAATCAGACAAAATGATCTTCTCGATTTTTTCTCCTCATTTTGTCTCTCATAGTTGAGGTTGACTTATGATGAAAATGACAGGCATCTGTCATCTTTTTAAGTGGGAGAACATGCACAATTGGTGGCTGACTAAATACTTTTTTGCCCCACTGTATAACTTCACTTACCTGAGGCTCTTGAACATTACCACTGACCTGAGCTTCCTGCACCGCGTGGCTCAGCTGAGGCTCCTGCGCAGCACCACTGAGCTCTGGCTGCTACACACTGAGCTCCGGCTGGGCCTCAAGTCCACCAACCTGAACCTGTACAACACTAACAGCAGGCTGTGCATTTTTCGTTACTGCCTGAACGTTACTGGGCTCTGCTTCAGGCAGTACACTCAGGTAACAGGGTCTGGAGATGTACCGGTATCTCATCTGGATCCTCAGTGCACGCTGCAACTTATGTTGTATGTGGAGTATGGTATCGGTAGCTAAGAGTTTTGTACCTTTGACGTTTTTCTTTAAAAGATGGAACTGTGTTCTATCTAGTGACATAGTACAGTTTCTGTCTTTCCTTATAATCCTTCTCTGTGTTGTACCTATTTACTATTTACTGTTTCTGTCTGTCTTTGAAATCCTTCTCTGTGTTGCACCTATTGACAATGTACTGTTTTTGTCTACGCTGATATGCAAGATCAGTTTTGTATTTTTGGACACGATACTGTTTCTTTTTGTTCTTAATAACAGCATCACTTTGGTATATCCTAACTTTGTATGCTCTAACTTTATCTTGTGTACTGGCAAAATGATGTTTGGATAGTGAAAGTCTTTTCTGTCAGTAGAGTGCATCGGCTCTATATCTGTGTTGATGTGTCTAGTTTTTTTGTCCTATGCTCTGTACTGCTGGCATACTGCTGCTTTTCACCAAGGTTCTTTGTCCTTTGTAGCTCAGCAGATACTGTTCAGGTACCGATTCATTCCTAATACGACAAGCTGCTTTGCGACGGCGTTCTTTACTTACCTTTGTTAAACTCGGTGTCTTCAAAGTGTGACTTATGTGTGCTGTGTGACGGACGGTGCTGGTGTGTGCGTGCTCAGCAGAGACCCGTTTAGCAGTGTTCTCTGCTGGCTGCGCGGGAACATCAATGTTCTCAGGCGGAACGCTAGCTGCAGCCCTTGGATGCTCATTGCTATCATTTGTGACTGGCTCAATCTCTTCTAGATACGACCCGTCCCTCGTTGTTGGTTCCTTCTTAACCATCGAATTAATGTTAAAATCTCCCATTAAAATAATTTCTTTAGTTTTGTCACAATGTTTGAGTAGAAGTTTAAGTTGTTCATAAAAATCAGTTTTTGCAGTGGGCTTTCTATATAAACACACAATAATAAAAGACATAGTTTTTGAGAGTGATATGTCAACACCTACACATTCTAAAGAAATTTTACTTGGCCATTCAATCATCTTGCACTTTAGGGTATTTCGTACATATATTACAACTCCCCCACCGCTCCCATTATCTCTGTCCTTTCTAAATACATTATACCCAGGCTTATTTACAACAGCATCAGGTGAAGTATGGGTCAGCCACGTCTCCGTGAGTCCTAAAAAGTCAATGTTGGAACTGTACAGCAGATGTTCCAGCTGTTCGCATTTAGGCTTCATACTGCGTATATTTAAGTGACCGCCAAATAGTCCCTTTATTTTTGACGACGGGTCCCAAACTAATTTGGCCTGATTAGTGTGCGGAATATTTTGGTGGTTCTGTGCCGTTTGAACAGTGGGTTCCTGTATTTTATTGGAGGTGTCTGTTGGTTGGGGCAGAGAGCAGTAGTTTGTGTCAGCGGAGTCACACACTCACCAGTGTGCGCTCCTTCGTCTTTCCTGCCGCTTTGCTTCTCCGGCGAGCGAGCGGTCACCGGCACGACCCTGGTCGAGCTCATGGAAAGGTCTGACCCATCAGAACCAGAATTACGCTCCATACGCAGCGAAACAGCTACTCCATGGCCGCTTACATCACCGCGCGCGTCACCAGTCAGCGACACACCTGTTCCAAACCAGGAGGAGGCGCCAGCAGGAACCCGAACACCTGCGCCAGCGGGAGCCCGAACACCTGCGCCAGCAGGACGTCCCAAAGCCTCCGTCCCCCTCAAATCCAGCACACACAGGCCGTCAGAACCAAACCAGGGCAGCATCCACGACACACATTGTTTGAAGGTCGGTAGAACTCTGTCCATGGTGACATGGCTGAAGTCTCCCGACATGATGATGAGGGCATTGGGGTGTTGAGTCTGTAGTTTGGAGATGGAGGTGTGTTTGATGCTGCAGGCAGATGTTGGGTTTGCAGAGGGAGGGATGTACAGGACAGCAACGATGACGTGAGGGATCTCTCTGGGCAGATGGTGTGGACGGAGTCCAACGGCAAGCAGTTCCACATCCGGGCTACAGAGCTGCTCCTTAACAGTGATACACCATCTGCGGTTTACTAGAATGGCAAGTCCCCCTCCTTTCCCCTTGCCACTCTTAGTATCCCGGTCAGCCCGGATGGTGTGGAAGCCATCCACGGAGACGCTCCGGTCCGTTATGTCCTTGTGCAGCCACGTCTACGTGAAGCACTTTAAACTGCACTCTCGGTACTCTGGGTGGCCCTGCGTCAGAGCCGTTAGCTCGTCCATCTTGTTGCCAAGAGACCGAACGTTGCCCATAATAACAGAGGGGAGACAATGCTTAAATCCTCTCCTCTCAATGAGCCCTTGCTGTCTCGACCCTCCTTTCATCCCCCGATAATGTTTTCCTCCTCTACAACCTCGGCGTGTTTTCATCCGTAGTTCTGGTGGTATCTCAGCTGGTCTGGTCACTACGCCGGCCGGATCCAGTGCGATCAGCTGTTCCCCGGAGTAAACAAAGGCAGCGTGTCCTGTTGTAGGCGGCATTTAAAAAAAAAAAAAAGTTCGATTTGGAACTAGACACTTACTAAAAACTACCTGATTAGAGAGGACAGAACCTCACTGAGTTACCATGAGGCCACGGAGCAAAGAGAGAGACGAAAAAGTAAAGAAAGTTATAAAAAGCGAACATAAAAGTTGGAGCGACGTAACAGGCAGCCTGCAGCTTTTGCGCACGCGCACTAGAATGACAGTAAAACTGCACATCTGCGATTTGCGTGTGCACATCACATTTGCGGTACAGATCAGGTTGCGTTCGCGGGTCAGGGAGTTGCGCCAAGATGTACTTATCGACAAAAGTGCATACAGTTTGATCATCGTCGACATCCAGTTCGGGGGCTCCTTCAACCCAAAGCATCGCGTGAATGTGCGGACTTCCTCTGTGCTGAAACTCAACTCTGTAGAAAACGTCGATCACTCTCCCCAGAGGCTGAGCGTCTGACAGCAGCAAATCTCTGAAAAGAGCCTCCACGCGCTTATCAAAGAGCCGCATGCAGGTCACAGGGTTGGATCGGAGAATCTCACGCTTTTCCGACCAGTCCAGAGCCTCCACGTCAACCTGCTCACCCTGTTGTCTCTTTATGGCTTCGATGACTTCGGGCCATCGGAATTCGGCAGCCGAAAAGGTGCAGAAGAAGGTGGGAGTTCCCAACTGTCGGATCATGGCCAACAGATCTTTGGTGGTTTTCTCCCAGTATGCTGGAGTGCCTCTGAGCGGCTGCATGAACCTGATGGCATCTTTATTTCTCACCAGTCTCTCCACCTCTCGTTTGTTTTGCAGCATGCCCAAGGTGATTCTGCGCCCATCTCTGGTCAGAGTCTTACCTTTTCTCAGCTGG